TAACTTTTTCTTAAAGGGTGTGGAATAAAACTTAAATAAGCTGAAAATGTTTTTTCTTATGGAACTTTGGACTCCTTTTTCCAAAATTAGGGAGTACTCCCTCCCGCATAGCAGTCTTGGGGGCTGACACAGGTTTCTCTGCCAATATAGTAGTGTTATTCTCTAAAAGTACAATGAGATAACATTCATAGATTATATATTAGTTCATGTCACCAGCCCAGTACATCGAGATTGAAGTTCAACATTTAATAATTGTTGTTGTTGCCGTCAAATTAAACAATAATTGGTTTGTACCAGACAATGTTTTCCCTATTTTTCATACTAACAGTGGAAAATCTTTCAGGTTGACTTGTGCAGCTGGAGCTTGAAGGTGAAAAGCAAATGTATATGCAAGTATCCACTTTCTCCCCTTTTTTGATCTATTCCACTTTATCTCCTCTAAATAAACTAAAGAAGCACACGCACAGAAAAAAAATAAGCTCTAATCCTTGCACATAAGGAAAGAAGGTGAATGACATCAAAAGAGCACCAATGCCAGGAGGAAATGAAATAAAACAGCATGGCTTCATGGCGTGTATGGAATCAAAAGGTGTCATTTGAAAAATTAAAAAAAGGTGGCAGCAAGCAGACCCGCCACTGCCAGGTATGTATAGGTAACCACTAGAGCCTTTTCAGCAGTAAGGTGCTTCTTTTCGACAGAGCAGGTTCATTACCACGAGGACATTTTGAAACAATGTAATCCTCATTGTTATTAATGGCGAGTGGCAAGGGGCGGGCGAGATGACCTTTTTATGGCGAGAGGCGGGTGGTCAAATGGTGAACACACACACACACGTGTGTGTGTGTGTGTGTGTGTGTGTATGTATATGTGTGTGTGTGTGTGTATATACTCCCTCCGTCCTATATCTTTCTTCCCGTTGCGCAAAACGAAGAAAAATCCCAAGTTTTTTCAATCTATTTTATTTAAATATTGGTATAGAAATAAACAATAAAACTTACATATTTAAAAACTACATCAAAAGTTAAACAAAACAAGTGGTGACAAGAATATTTTATTTTATCATATAGGCCATGAAAAAACACAAATAAATATAAATTCCCGTGAAGTTGGAATAGTGCTCTGGGAAGAAAGTTTTAGGACGGAGGGAGTATATCTGTGTATATGTATATGTATATTTTCTCCGCCGAAAATTTCTGACTTGCTGAAAGCTATCAACAACAAAAAAAAAGAAGGAACCATAATAGTATTGGGATAGATACACTTTAAGCATCCCTATTAGTGTTGTATTAATTTTTAACCTCGCAACATAGTTAATCGACTTGGATAGAGTTCTAAATTCAACTTGTACATTAACCAACCATCAAACAAGCTATGCATTTAAAAAAAACATTCTAAAGACTGTTGGAAGTATGAAACTACAATCTCCATGATAAACAAAAGCAAAAAAGTATGGAGTAACAGCAAGCAAGCACGAATGGGTATGTGAATTTATGCACAAATGTGAACTGATGCTACATCCTACCCAAGCTGGTTTTTAAAAAAAACCAAAAGGGGCAGAAATCAATAATCAAAATCCCTAGTAAAACCCTAAACGTTAGAATATGCAAGCATTGTGTAGCAAACAAGCAATTACGTAAGGGTCAATGATTCCATGCCAAAGTCTGAAATGTTAGACACTAGACCCTAGAGAAAAAAATAGTACCCTCATTAGATACGCATCTCAGCCAAAAGGGAAAAAATCTTTTCTTGAATGAGCTTATGAATCTACACTCTACTTGCCTCTATATGTGCAAACTAGCCAACAAATAAAAGGATTAAGACACACGGCATCGAGAAAAGCATCTTGCAAACTAAATGTCACTACATAATTTACTTATACATTACACCTCTAATCGAAAAGATCAACCGCCGAAAATTTCTGACTTGCAGAAAGCTATCAACAACAAAAAAAAAGATGGAACCATAATAGTATTGGGATAGATACACTTTAAGCATCCCTATTAGTGTCATATTAATTTCAAACCTCGCAACATAGTTAATGGACTTGGATAGAGTTTTAAATTTAACTTGTACATTAAGTCATTAACCAAACATCAAACAAGCTATGCATTTTTTTAAAAAAACACACAATCTCCATGATAAACAAAAGCAAAAAAGTATGGAGTAACAGCAAGCAAGCATGAATGGGTATGTGAATTTATGCACAAATGTGAACCGATGCTACATTCTACCCAAACTGGTATTTTAAAAAAAAAAACCAAAAGGGGCAGAAATCAATAATCAAAATCCCTAATAAAACCCTAAGCGTTAGAATTGCAATAACAGTAATCATAACTAGAGAGCTGAGACAGATAGGAGAACACCTGCCAAACACGGCGGAGGCGCTTCTTGGCGTTGGCCTTACGAGTGGTGGTGAGCTTTATCCGCTTCCAAACGAGGCCGCCGGAGTCGTGCTTCTTCACTATTTCCATCACCCTTGTTCCCCAGAATGCCCCCCACGCCGATGCCATCTGCTTTAGCTATCCTCTTCTCTGTGTTCGTCGATATGCTGCGATGGAATCTCTGCTAGTTGTGGACTTGTGGTGATTGATGCTGATGTAACTAGAGTTGTATATGGTAAATCAGTATGTACCTAAAAATACGTAAATCCCGGTAGTATTCATTTTAAAATAAAGTAGTACTCATTCTCGTACAAATATAAACATTTATTTTGAAATATGTAGTATTCATTCTGGCAAAGGTAATACTCATTTTAAAATAAAGAAATACTCATTTTTACACATTTGTGCAATATTAATATACAAATAATCGAATACACATTCTAAAAACTAGTTGTACTCATTCCCACTTAAACCAGTATTCATTCTTGCCCTAATTGAGGATTTCAATCATCATCACCTGCAAAACTCCATCATCACCAGTCTTCCTTCTTCTTCTTCATCATCACTGCAGCAGAGACTCCATCATCATCACCAGTCTTCCTTTTTCTTCTTCATCACCGCATCATCTCTGCTGCAAAATCATCAGCAAAACCCCATCATCATCATCGGTCTTCCTTCTTTATCACCGATCATCATCATCGATCATCATCATAGATCCGCACATAATCCCAGATCCGACTTCCGATTGACTAGCCTCCTTCATCGCCTGTTTCTTGCGCATCCTTTCGCCCTATTTAACGCCGGCTGTACCTATCTCTAGGTACAACCGGATGTATAATATAATTTGCGATGTATTAGTCCTTTCAATTAAAATAGAGTAAATTCCATAATTGGTCCTTTATAACAGGGGTTTTCATATTTAGTCCTCTATTATCAAATATTACCTCCGTAGTCTTTTTTTAAGGGTGCCTTTCCACAAATGGTCCTTTTTGATCTTCTGGCATGTTGATATTAATTTAAAGACTAAAAGTATAATTTGACATCAACATTATGTTTAGTGACATGTTTTGATATTTGTTAAGTGGATAATACAAAAGTAATGACTATGATTGTGGGTTAGGATTCCGACGAAATACCATATTTGCAGACTATGGTTGTAGTAGAAAGCGACTGTAATTAACAAACGATGGAAACGGAATAGCCTTTGGAATTGTGTATGACAAAAAATATATATTATCATTGCGAAATTACACTTTTAGCCCTCAAATTAACACCAACATGATAGAAGATCAAAAAAGGACTATTTGTGGAAGGATACATATAAAAGAAGGACCACTGGTGTAATATCTGATAATAGAGGATCAAATAGGGAAACCCCCCTGTTATAAAGGACCAATTATGGAATTTACTCATTAAAATAGTACACATCCTTATATCAATCTATATTCGTTTTCACACAAAATATTCAATTCGAAATAACGTAGTATTCATTTTCACACATTTTTTTAACACAATCATAATATTCAGGAGTAAGTTTCATAAAAGGTTCCCATTTATAGGCAATTTTATATATTTAGTCTCTACATATCAAATATTATTAATTTAGTCCTCAATTATTATATTCTTTTTCACGAATGATCATTTGTTAATCTTTTTGTTAAGATTATGGATAAAATTATAGCTCTCACCGGTGTACTTTGATATATCAACACACGAGATTTTTTTTTCAATATTTTCAGTCTTGTGAACCAACAAAAAAAAACTCTCACACAAGGAAAAAGATGAGATGGAGAGGTAAAGTTGGAGAAAAATTGGTGAGGAAATTTTTTTTCCTCTCACCACTAAGAATGCTCTTAGAGCAGTGGAAATACTGGTAACGCCAAGGGGCGTTAGGAGAGTTTTGACGCCTGGGGGGCGTGAAACACCACCCCCCTCCCCCTTTATCCGAGCGTTAAAACTCCCGCGTCATAGTTTTGACGCAATTTAAAGGCGTGATAACGCCTCTTCCTTGCTTTTTCTCCTTCTTTTTTCCTCTTTTCTTCTCTATAAATTAAATTAATTTTTTTTAAAATTCAACACAAATACAAATTTCTCTATTATCTTTTTTTAAAAAATTATTATTCAACTATTTTTTTATTTTTTCATGAATGTAATTTTTTATTTAATGAATGTAATTTTTTATTTAATAAATGTAGTTTTTTATAATGAATGTAATTTTTTTAATTAATGAATGTAATTTTTTTATTTAATGAATGTAATTTTTTATAATGAATACAATTTTTTAATGAACTATTCTCATTTTAAACCTTTTAAATAATTAAATATTTAAATTTAATTAATTTAATTTTAGAAGATGTGTATTTAAAATTTAAAAAAATGAAGGTTTGAAGCCCAGTTTGAAGCCCCGGGGCTTCAAACCCATTTCCATTGAAACTGTGAGGTAAGTTAAAGCTGACGTGATAGAGAGAAAATGTTTGAAGCCCCGATTTAAAGCCCGGGGCTTCATGGGTATTTCTAGTGCCTTTAGTGCCAAAAAAACACCCCCCAAAAAAAATGTCAAACTGCCAAACTACTTTACGTTAACCCCCCAAATTCAGCGACTCTGCAACGGTGGAATAGACCAGTTGTATAAAGCATCGATCTTGTTGACTCCCCCATTTTTTTTCTAAACTATGTTTAGGTTTTAATTTTCGAAAAACTATTTCAGAGAAGGCGCTTCTGTCTGATTGTCCGCGTCTGGAGAAGATGAAGACGCCTCTGAAGACATTGCGAGCGGCGCTAAGGCACGAGAAAAGAGAACGTAAGATTAGGTCGTTGACTCAAGAAGATGAATTAGCTCAAGCTACACAGGTTTTTTTTTCCGGCTTTATTTTCATCTATTTTCTTCCATTCAAATATGTGATTTTTTTAGGGATTTTCTCTCTGGTTTCTAACCTGGTGATTAGGTCTAATCTTCTATTTGTCTGAACTCCAAAAACGAACTTTAGAACGTGGGTTCAGATTTCTTATTGATTTCTATATCATTGATTGGATTTCAGTGCAATTATGAAGGTGTAATCGCTCAAACTTTGGAAATATGATAGGAGGATTCTCTGCTGAAGTCCTTTTCTTTCTTCCTCTTTTTGAGCTCATTTACTTGGATTAAGTTAGTGCATTTATTTTGATTGGTCAAATTACACAATTAATTTTCCTTGAAAAGAGATTTCAGTTTTGGACATGTCAGTGTATTGGAGTTGCTCTTCTTTTCTTGGCACAAAGAGCTATTTTGAGTACTCCCTCCGTCCCAAATAGAACTTGAGGATGTGATTTATGATGCTTAACTTAGACTAGAGTTATTTTCCAATCAAATTATTTCAAGATTGTTGTGAATATAAAAAATAAACTCTTTATATTTAAAAACTACATGGTAAGATATACTTGTATAAAACAAGATATGACATGATTATACTCCCTCCGCCTTGAATTCATTGTCACATTATGAATAACGTCGCTTGACTGAGTTTATTTTCAATTCAATTGTTTATATAATGGTACAAATTTTCAAAATAAAATTTACATATTAAAAAACTACATCAAATTCTCTAAAAAACAAGAAGTGATATGGGTATCTTATTTTAACAGATGGTTAACGAAAGTAAGTAAAGAAAGAAGAAAAAAATTGACCTTTGAATGGTGAAGTGAGATGATTACTTCAGGACGAAGAGAGTACTTTTTTGTCAAATGATGAATGAAAATAAGTAAAGACTATGAATAATAAGCATAAAGGTCATTTTGGGATGGAGGGAGTATATTTTAAGAACTACTCCTGTTCTTTTTTAATGGACCATTATGAGTTTCTTGATACATTGAAAAATGAATAAATGTAGACATACTTTATGTTTACATTCATTCATTTTTCAATGCACCAAGAAAGTTATAATGGCCAATTAAAAAAGAATGGAGGAAGTACGTGAAATACTAAAAGTTACTCCCTAGTAGTTAGAGCTTAAAATTTGAAAATTTATCGATATCTAATACTCCCTCCGATCCTCCATCCCATAAAATGCTTTACATTTTCCTTTTTTGGATGTTCCAAAAAAAAGTATACATTTACTTTATTTCCCATTTTATTAATGAATATGTGGCTCACAATATTTCTAATTCGTCTAAACAAATTCTAATCACACACTTTTTATTTTACTTTTCAACACTTTTCTTGAACTCCATGAAAATCAAACTGTTGGGACAGAGGGAGTATTGTTGAAGTACTAGATAGTAAATCATTGTGAACAAAAAAAAAGACAACAACAACAACAACAACCCAGTTAAATCCCACAAGAGTAGGGTCTGGAGAGGGTGTGTGTACGCAGACCTTGCCCCTACTCGAAAGTAGAGAGGCTGTTTCCAAAGAGACCCCCGGCTCAACGTCAAAAGTTGCATTGCTTGACTAACTGCTACTTCATTAATTAAAGAAGCGCAGATAGTATAGAGATCCATTTTGATTTATTCCATCACACCCCAAAGCCAAAAAATGGTGAAATTTTGGCTCCATCGGAGATGATGGAAAAAAAAGACAAATGTGGATATAAATTCTGAGTGGAAAATGGATGATAGATGTTATTTAGAAATTAGTAGGCTTATTTGTAGAACAAATATAAAGATCCCAACCATTTTTAGAAGAGGAGGGATCTGTTTACACTTTACATCACTATGATTTACACTACTTCTTTTTTACACCTCTTTTAACTGTTACCTGGACTGTTCTCATGCAAAACTCACGGTGCGCTTATAAATTACTAACGCATAGGAACATAGGATATCCCCAAACATTTTTAAAAAGTTGCAAAATCGTTTTATATTTCATTTAGTATAAGTGGTAGAACAAAATCAAGGCAATGCATATCTCTAAAATATGTGAAAATATGAATTATATAATTTAATATGAAACAGTTTCAGAATGTTGTGATATTCTATGAGGATGATTCATGTATGACTCGTAATAACTTTAAATCTCATGGTGGGTTTTGCATGAAAATGATCAAAGTGCAAGTTATAAGCGGTATAAGAATTGGTGTAAGTTATCGTTGTCTACCAGGTCCCCCTTTTTGATAAAGGAAAACTAAAGGATATAGAATTTGAAAAAAAATTCATATTGTAAGTTCATATGCAATTTGCGAAATATAGCTTATAGCTTTAAAATAAGCTATATACTCTACACTCAGTTCTACCAAAAGAGCGCATGTACAAATTAATTATAAACAACAACGAGGAGAAAGTTTTTTCCCTCCCTCCTATGGGTGATTTTAAGGAAGAGTTGGAGAAGGGCCGCTTTGAGCCGGTTAATCATAGATAGATGGCTGTAAAATAAGGTCCGAGAAATGGCGGTCCATTTCTTCTTTGAACAAATTTGGAATTGATCGTATATCAATAAGATTTGTGGAACTAGAGTTAATTGATTTCATTTAGAATTCTGGGAATGGGGTATAACACAATTATTCATAAAGAAAGGTGTTTGTTTTTTTTCAGGATATGGTAGATATGAGGGATTGCTATGATAGGTTGCTTTCTGCTGCTGCTGCAACTGTAAACAGTGTATATGGTATTCATTAAGTTATCACGTAATTCTATTTTTAACTCATTTCTGTTATTTTTTTATACAAGAAAAATTGAGGGCAAGATGAATAGCTACACATCTGCCCGGTACTTAGGTTACAATGTTTATATTATCCCCTTATAAGCTTATGTTAATGGATTGCGTTACCTTTTGTATATAGTAGTTTAGTACCTTGTAGGTCTTCTGGCCAGTAGGTTTCTGGTCATGATTGATTGCTATTGTCTTATGGAGTTTCCATTTTACTGATAGTATAATTTTCTGCAACTGAAAAACCTCTGTTTTTTTCATGTTGGTTATTCTGTCTATATGTCGGTCCACCTTGGGTTCAAAGACTGACCAAGCATAAAAGAGAATCCTCCCTTCCCCCAGAGCTAGAGGAAAACCCTCTCTGCGGTGACGCTTCAAATTCAAGAATTCTTTCTCCAAATAAGAAAAAACACTATTTTTATCATGCAGCCTGAGCTGGTCTAAACACGTACTATACATTGTTAAGCTTGGTCCAAATGAGTACTATAGATTGATACAAGTATTGACTACACATCTACACCTGATGTTCAGCATTGATTTAATGAATACTGAATTACTGATGTGGAATAAACCAATGTACATAACGGCATAACCGCATCGGCCTCTAGACATTTAAAAGAGATGAAAGGATTCTTAGAGGACTGAAGATCTATGGAAAATGTGCTCCTTAGAGCTTAGCAATGATTCAAGGAACTAAACACTTAATGTTATCACATATCATGCTATAAGAGTGCATTTGATTAAAATTTGCTATTTAATTATGCATAATTATTTTACTGAAAAATAGTGCTACTCCGTGTGGATATCATTTAGAAGCCTGAGAGCAACTTCCCCTTGTTTGGAAAGAGCAGCTTTTTAAATGGTGATTGGTATATATATCATTCATATGCATATATCTATTTCCATTTGTTAGATGAATAGCTGCAAACTAGCATTAAAGTATTCCCCCAGCAGCTGCTGTTAGGAATATATTTAGAGAGAGATAGTGTGTGTGTGTGTGTGTGCATGTGTGCGTGTGTATGAAGTATATTCTTGTAGCTCCACTCAACATCCTCCAATAAGTGATGAAGAATTATTTAACACTCTTTATTATAATTGTCTATTTATTATAAATGGAGTGGATTTAGCAAAAGTGGGAGTGGATATAGCAACTCCCTAAACACTTGTATACTCTTGTATTTGATTACACATGATATTATACTAATTTTCCCTCTTTCTTCTGCAACACTACTCACGAATCCTGCATTCTCTACTATGTTCTAGCTTACTCTGATGACTTCAACTTCATTATTGGAAAGGTTAAGCTATAGAAAAGCCATTCCTTTTTGGTGTTAATATGGCTTTTTAGGATTTTATGTATTTGTACAAGCCACCCCTACTATTGAGTATGTAACATTGTTCTTTTCTGCAACCAAATGAGTAGCTTATGTTAGGTATGCATGTTTCGTGTTGCTTATATATTTCATCATTCTCTTGGTTTTGTTTTTGTGCAATGGAGTTCTTTTGTTGGCATTTTGGTGGAAATTGTAATAATCAAAACTGTTCTTTTCCAGAGTTTTCAGAGTCATTGCGGGAAATGGGCGACTGTCTTCTTGAAAAAACATCATTGAGTGATGATGAAGAAACTGGTAATAAGTGCTATCATGATTTTTTTGGATTACATATAGATACGCTCATATAAAAAAATCCTTCTTAACCACATTTAGGAATGACATCTCATTTAGGAATGACATCTGACAGTCAGTAAAATTGCAGTTTTTTCCATTATTCTCAATTGAAATCCTCCTATAAACTGGTAATGAGTGCTAGCTGGGAATAAGCTGGGTGTGGGAGGAATTTCTACAACATTGGATGATATGTATACTTAGTCATTTAATTATAATTTTGTCCACAAATATCTATTTCACTCGATAGGTAAAGTGCTACTCATGCTTGGTAAAGTGCAGTTGCAGCTGCAGAAACTTGTAAATAGTTATGTGAGTAGTCTTTGTGTGAATTATTTTAGATGCATTTTTTTTTGAAAATTTTCCTTAGGCTGATAGTTTGCATTCTGTTTCCAGCGCTCACATATTAACAAGACAATTACAGTCCCCTCAGAGTCCCTTCTCTGTGAACTACAAACTGTTGAGGTTTGTCTATTTAAAGTGCATTTCATCCAACATGATGAACTTATTTTCTTGATGCTGCCAAAAGCTTTCTTCGTTTGTTCCCAACTTGAATTTCTTGTTTGTATTATTTCTAAATTTGTCTTGAAAATTTCCTCAACAGTCTGATTTTCCTTTCTGCAGGACATGAAAAGACAGTGTGATGAAAAACGGTACGAAAAGGAAGTAACTCATTCTCGTAATTTAATCTATCTGTATCTATTCTTACTTTGGCTTATGGATTTTCAGAGAAATATACGATCAATTGACCCAAAAGTATACAGATAAAGGAAAACTAAGAGGAAGCAAAGGGGAGTGTTTTTCTTCTCAGCAACTGAAAGCAGCCTATGATGAATATGATGAGGGAGCGAATGTTTTTGTGTTTCGCATGAACTCCCTCCGTCAAGGACAATCCCGCAGTCTTCTAACTCAAGCTGCTCGGCACCATGCTGCCCAGGTTCTTTTTTTGGCAATTAATGACCTTTCATCCCCCTTTCTTTTTTCAAAATCATGGAAAACTAGATTTTTGGCAGCTTTTCTCTCTTTTCTAATAGATGACAATTACAATGCTTATTCTATAATATTACAAGCAGATGTCTTTTTTCAAGAGGGCTCTGAAATATCTTGAGGAGATTGATCCGCATGTCAAATTGGTCACTGAGAAACAACATATTGACTATCACTTTAGTGGACTTGAAGATGATGTCAGGGATGATGCTGTAAAGGATGATAGCGATGAGTATTTTGATGATGACCATGATTCCAATGATGAATCTGAATCGCATGATGGTGAATTAAGTTTTGATCACGTTCAGAATGAAAATGAATATGTATCAGTCAATTCAATGGAGGTGATACTTTACAGCTATGGATCATTCCCAACGTGTTTGTTATTATTAGTACCTTGAATTTGAAACTGTTTCTGTCATCTGGTTCTGCTGTCGATTGTTGACTGAACAATTACAAGAGCTGCATATAACATGAATCTACAAAATGGATAAAAATGTAGAAATCTGATTGAATTGGAGATCTGGATGGAGGGATGGAGCTCATATGATGTTCCATTTAATTACTGCTGTCAGCCTGGCCCTGGGCTTATGAGCTTAAATTCCCTAGGAGATGCTGAGATTTGTTTCTTGCATTTAATCTGAGATCTGGGTGATCAATACCTTACAATATAAGCCTCTGCGTACTCCATCAGATATCTTTCTTACCGTTTGAGTTTTCTTGGTTAAACTTAATAAATTTTGAATACAAAATATGGAAAAATTACATTGAGTTATGATATAAACTTAATAACAACAAATTCATTTTGAAATGTAGTTTTAACATATCATATTTTTACAAGATATATCTATATTTAAATATAGCTTTAAATGGTCAAAGTACTACAGAAGTACAGAGTATTTTAGAAACAGTGAAAAGTCAAATGAAAAGAAAGATATATGACAAAGGCAGTCTTATTTTTCAAGGAGTAAGAGGCATTTCACATGCCATGTCTTCATGGCTTACATTTTAGAATTTGAATGATAACAACATTTAGGACCTCTTGAGATTTACACAGTTACACTAACGTATGGACTTCTGTTTCAATTTTTTGGGAATAAATTTCATTTCATATGACTGATTGCTGAAAGATACAATATTTTTGCAGTTGGATAACACAGATATTACATTTCCTCAAGTTGCGAAAGCTGAGGTAAATAAATTTTCTGATCTTCTCTATGCTTGAATATGTTTGTCCGTTAGTTTATTTTGTAGAGCTGAATCTGGCCCCTAAGTTGGATCTTGTGGAGTTAGTCTTACTCTGTGAAGTGGAACTGGGGGAGTTTAGGCTTAGAAAGTCGTTTCAAGTCTTCCAGTGCTCACCAGTCCTCGGGAGAATGTCTAATGCTGTAAAAACTAAAAAGTGCTAATGAATTAAACATTTGAACACTTGCTCCTTAAGCTTCCTTCCGGTTACCTTATCATCTATATATGCCTTTATTTCTCAAATTCTAGTTTTATCTTCTGAAAAGGAATATTGAGACTCCTTTTATTCAGGAAAGTACAGTTTTGTCTAGTTTAAGTCTTCAACTGAAGTGTCATGTCCATATTTTGTCCTACCCTTTTAAATTTGATCAACTTACACCGCTAACTCCATTTATTCTTTTCAGCCAGATCCAGACCTTGTGAGAGACTAAGCATAGAAAAAAAATGGTAGGAGTACACATCTAGCAAAAAGTTGAAAGTATAGGATGTAATATGACCAAATTACTAATAGGATAAGACTAGGCTCTTGTTTGGTGCCCATCTTTATTTGTGTCATCACATATCATCTATGTAGTTACTTTAAAAGGAAAAAAATGGTTTTTTTGATAATTCATTTATTTCAACTACGACGACTTAAGCAAATTGAGTCAATTCAGCCACTGCTGCCAATATTTATTCCACGAAACGGACTTTAAATGTGGCAATGCATCACCATAGCTGAGGAGTAGAACTAGAGATATGAAGTTTGTGTTCACCCTATATATATAAATTGGTACCGGATTAATTGGATCTGATTGATGCTTCTCTGTGAGTTTTTGACACCTAACAACCGCCTTAGTAATTAGGACAGAGCTAATTTTCTTATTTCTTATGAGTGAATATTGACAGGAGATTGCAGAGACAAATATCGGTCGGAAGTCTTTTGCCTTGCGCAAAGAGACTCGTGTAAGCAGCAAATCTGCACCACTCATTGCTGAATCAAAACATGAACGGGCTTTGCAGAAAGGCACTTCACCCGCATACAAGATTCACTCTTATGTGTTACCCACACCAGTGGAGACTAATAAGACTCAATTTCCATTGAAATCAAGTGCTGAAGCTCCACCACAGCCAAGGCGAACAAGTCTGGAGAGTAGAGATAGCTTGTGGCATTCTTCTCCTCTGGATAAGAACATGTATGAGAAAGCTAGGCGATCCGAAAACTTATCCCTCCGTGGGCCTTTCATCTCTTCGTTGTCTGGACACTCGTCACCACAGCTGGACACATCGTCAGCATCTGATGCTAAAAAGGCCAAAAGACAAGCCTTTTCTGGCCCTTTAACTGGAAAGCCATGGCCAAACAATCCACGTATTTCTTCCAGCGGCCCATTGCTTTTCAAAGGCATCCCTCCCCAATTTTCTGGGCCCCTCTTGCGTCCATTACCCCAACCTTCAACATCGAAATTGAGCTCATCACAAGCTTCTCCCCCTCGATTATCATCTCCTAAGATTAGCGAGCTACATGAATTGCCAAGGCCCCCACCACCCCATTTATCCACCACCACCACCATACCATTATCCCCTCACATTACTCATTCAGGGCCTTTATTGTCTAGGCTCTCTCCTACAAATAAAGCAGATGTAGTGACTCCTCCAGTCACTGTGTCTACACTTCCAATGCCCCCTCCAGGCCTGCCTCGTAGTTACTCCATACCATCCAGAGGCTGCGTCGGAACAACAAGTGTCCCTAAGCCATTAACAGATTTTGCTTTGACTCCAATAACATCGTCATCAAATAGTATCAAGACTTTGTCCCCAGATACATGACACTTTCATGCCATATGAAAGGTAACTCGGTAACTAACGGTTCCATTTGCTTTTCCCTATGGCAACTGCTTTTCTCTGACATTTTGGGTATTTTACAGGGGTGCATTCTGGGAGACTACGTGTTCTCTTTTTTTTTTCCTTTTTTTTTCTGTAGGAGGTACAAGCACAGTTTTGCCACGTTGTATATATTCTTCATGGTGGAATCTCTCCACCCGTGTCCGAATGGTGTCGGGTTTTAGCTTGGTGGTATAGGTGGTGGCGCTGTAAAGCATTCATACAGTATATTTAGGTTGTAAAGCCCTACGCCCTCCAACAGATGTGATTTAGGAGAACCAAATTTATGTTTTCTTCTCCCTTCTGTTTGTATTTGCCATTGTTGCTTTCTGTGCTTGGAAGGCATCAACATGACATGCCAACAGCTGAAAGTTTTGTTGACTACAAGAATTTCTAGCACTACATTTGCGTCTCCTTTTCTTCTCATAATCATCATCATCATCATTATCCATCATCAAATATTAACGCTGAAAACAGCTTAAGTTGTACTGATGAAGCTGGAATTTAATTTTCCAATTCTCTTGGTATCTATTAGCCCCTTATTAGTTTCCTTTTATTCGGGTGAAAAATCTTATAAATAGTTTTTATATAATTTCTCAAAAAAATAAAAAAACAGAATGGCATGTAAAAATGATTATAGAAGTTGCTTAACATCCCAAGAAAAATGTATAGGAGGATGGAGACTTGTTTGTACCCTAGTTTCTTGATTAAACGTCATATTCCAAAAAAAAGAGCTAACTTTTGTTAAATTTGATATACTTTTTGTTGAAAAAAGTGTCACAAACAAGTTAAATAATCTACAATTTATTCAACAATGTAGTATTAACTAACTTGTTTGGTTAGGGACATTCTCTTTGACATATTTTGGGTGTGTTGATATATGAATTAATAAAGAATGCATCTGTGAATTTTTTTTGACTGACTTGCTGGAAGGAAAATCAACACTTAGGACAGTTGACATTTTGGTCCTTGGATGGTGGGAGGGAAACATTTGTATTGGATTAAATAGGGGTTTCTCTCGAGATTGGTATTTTCACCATGGGTCAGACTATGTTAAAAGATGTCTCATGCAAAATGACTAAATATGATAGAGTGTGCCTTGACAACTAATATGCCCCCTTATCAACCCTTCATTGAAGAAGACCATTTGAAGAATAGAACTTCGAAGAAAGCTGAAAAAATGCAGGAGAAAGCAACACTTTCGAAGGGGGTATGTACTTGACGTAGAATAGATCTAGAAGGGAAATCTGTCCTTTTTAAAAAAATATATTTGGAGCCAATTTTATCAAATCATGTACTCTGCCAATAGGTTATGGGGCGAATAGTGTTAGTACTAATAATGGTTGTACTTTTAATGGGTTTTTATGTTGAACTTTGACATCTTTACTTTTTTTAATGCATTGTGCATGGAGAATCAGTGTAGACCCTGCTCCATTTGCCTCAATACCAGAGGGGTATTCCGATCTTTTCTCTACCTTTTTTCACGGTCTTGATTTTTTGATCTTTTTCGCAGGAAATAATTTTTAAAAGACTTTTTTTTTGAAAAAAAAAAAAGACTTAGTTTTGTTACAGAGTATTAAAAAACTAGCTACGCAACGTATTGCGCATTTATCTTCTATTTTGATGTACATTGGTATTAATTTTCTGGACCATTTAATTTCATTTCAATCGTATATAAGATTAAAGTCATTGTACCTTAATAAAACATGTCTTTTTATATAACGAGGAGAGTACATAACATAACAGATCGTAATAATCCGCATAATACAAAATGTAAACACCTAAGTGCATAGCCATTGTTTAAAACATTGATTGAAGTTAACATGTCACTATGTGAGCTTAGATGGTATTACAATAAAAATATAAAATACTCCATAAGCAAATGTATGATGCGTTGACAATCTTTTCTGTCAAAACTTGTGACTCTTGAATGATTATGATGATTTTAGTTAGGGTACATTAAAAGTTGAGTGTAAGAGTAATTTGAAGTCGCTCATGATGGTGTTAACTTGAAGACTAAAAGAGTAATTCACAATACTCATATATATTTCTTGCTATGTCCAATGCCAGAAGTTGCTCCTAATGCGTTGTTTGTGAACTGTACTCGCTATCTATAACAACCATAATCTATAGATGTCATTTCTGGTCGGAATCTTAGTTCACAGACATAGTTATTATTGTTTTGTCACTACTACAACATGTTGTACATCTAGTCAACATTATGATACGTCGTTGGACATAGGATTGATGTCAAGTTATACTTTTAGTCTCAAATTAACACCAACATGACAGAAGGTCAAAGAAAGATTATTCGTGGAAAGGTACCCATAAAAAAGTATTACAAACGTTATATTTGATAATACAGGACTAAATATGGAAAAACCATATTATAAAGGGTCAATTATAGAACTTACTCTTAAAAATAGCAATGTATATTTGTTTATACTACTGCTTCTTCTAGCTCATTCGAGTTTTTTCTTCTAACTCTTTCCTGTTTCTTCTAGCTCATTCGAGTTTTTTCTTGCTTCTTCCAGTACTTCCAACGACTCAAAAAATATATTTACATATAATGGCTATACAATAACATTATATATCAAAATTTAGAACATAATATCTCAAATCGTGCGGTAACGCTGCCACATCACCATCCCATCGCACCTTCCCATCTAGATACTGTTTGGTTTGATAATGAGACATGGTTTAGTAATTATACTAAGGGCAAGGTTCTAATAATGACATTAACCCCTAATGTCATCCTATGACATGAGCTCCGCTTGAGGTCGTTAAGGTACTCCGTTCGAAAAAATGATTGTTCCTACCCCTTCTAACCTTCCCGGTAAACCCCCCCAACTCGGCCCGACCCAAACCCACTCTCCCTCCCCCGTCAATTGCACCCCACAAGATTTAGTTGACTTTGGAGTCAAAATTTGACTCCAAAGTCAACTACATCTTGTGGGGTGCAATTGACGGGGGAGGAGGGGTTGGTTCGGGTCGGGCCGAGTTGGGGGGGTTTACCGGGGGTTAGGGGGGGTAGGAACAATCAATTTTTCGAAAGGTGTACCGTAGGGACCTCGGGTCATCCCATGACATTGATTTCCAATGTCATGGGAACCGTGGTGTTATACTAATGGGTTTAATTTTGGATTTGATCAGGTTCGTGCTTGATCGTTTACGCGTCCGATCAGTTTGGAGTCTAATTAGTTTTGGATCTAATCAATTTCGGGTTTAATCAAATTCTTGTCTAATCGATTTTGGGTGTGATTGATTGTGATTTGCTTAGTTTGGGTTTGATCGGCTTTGGATCTAGGTTGGGTTTGAATACATGAAGTTTGGTTCGAGTTCTATACAACTCATTTTGGGTTTTCAGTTATAGAATTGGTCATTTTGGATACAGTTTCGGGTTTATTTTGCAGGTCTAGTCAAACTTAAAAAAGAGGAGAGAAAAAGTGATACTGGTACTGAAACCGGTGGTCTGGTACCCCATATTTATTAGGAACTAGAGCTGGTCTTCCCAACCGGTTTTAGTACGGTCCCTTCCCCCCACTAGTTTGGTTCGAGAAAGTTGATTCAGGTTCCAAGAACGGTTCAAATTGGAATCGTGTCCAACTCTACTCATAGCGTACAATTCTCACTCTTAGAGCACCGGTAATACTCCTCACGCCCACCGGCGTTACGGGGCGTTAAACGCCCCGGGGGCGTGAAACACCGCCCCCCGCCGGCGTTAAACGGGCGTGAGGAGCCCTGCGTCATTCGTTTGACGCGGCGTGACTCTTGCGCGGCTCCCTCCTAACGGCTAAAAAAGCCGTTGCAGCCCACATTTAAAAAAAAAATTCCTATAAATTCAACCCCCCCAAACCAATCTCTCACACCTTCTCTTCAATCTCTTCTTCTTTATTCTTTTTAAATTTCGAAATTCAAACCCCCCTCCCAATTTTCAACATGAATCCTTCCGGCTCCGGCTTCTTTCCCGACGATCTCCCGCCCGTCGACGCCGCGATGTGGTATTACCAAGAGTTGGGCGATCGACCGCCGATGTACGAGACGCAACAATCGGGATGAAAGTCATGCAAACCGACCCCGGGACATTGTCGGAGTTTGGACGAATTATCTACGAGCAAAGAATGAGAGAGATCAAGAAGAAATATAATTTACCTTAGTTTTTTTATTAATGTATTTTTTTTAAAATTATTGTCACTTTTTTTATTTAATTAATGTGTTTTTTATTATTCGTGTTTCAATTTAATTAAATAATAAATTAAGTACATTTTATTAATTTAATTTTAGAAGATGTATATTTAAAAATGTAAAAAATGAAGGTTTGAAGCCCAGTTTTGAAGCCCCGGGGCTTCAAACCCATTTCCAGTGAATTTTGGGTGTAAGTTAAAGCTGACATGGCAGAGAGAGAAAGTTTGAAGCCCCGGTTTGAAGCCCCGGGGCTTCAAACGTATTACCAGTGCTCTTAGAAACGAATCATGAAAACAATTGAGGCAATCTAGCTCTATAGTGAGCTCGAACACGGGTCGATATTATTAATGCGAGTTTAGAACTAGTTCCCGTTTCAAATAAGAATGAAGTCTCGGTGAAAGTAGTTTGTTACTGCGGTAACTCGTCTATGACCATTTTTTTGAGCTAGAGCTTTATTGTATTTATATACGATGCGGTTAAAGTGAGAATGACTATTAATGTGAGAAATGAGAATGATGAATTTTTAGTCCATTGCGATGCAATTTACATTTGCGGTAGTTCAATTTTAAAATGGCGTCAAAGTTCGACTTATTTCCTTAGTTTCCACCGTACTTTTTCATATTTTCTATAGTTTTTTTACTTTTTAATATGCCTTAGGTCATAAATCTAATACAAAAGATGCATTCTTATTATGCTCATGAAATATCATTCTCATTTGATTCAAAATTTATGTACTTTACCTTTTCTTCTTGCAATTGATATACTTCCTTCAAGCCACTCTTGTTGGCCAATATTAGTTTTACGAGAAAGATTCTTTGATATTGACCACCAATGTCATAGTATAACATTAATGCATTTGAGGCACCTTCGATACTTCATTAGACCCATAAAGTTATTTTATATAATTTCCATACTTCTCTTTTAATCAACCCGTTGAAAGACTCATTTTATTTTGGACGAAAGTTCGGGCATATGAAAAGAATTTCTTTTAGGTCAGCGATCAGCCACAAGTCAAGATTTAAATTTTAACGTTTAAATTATAGATTTCCACCAACAATTTTTACATAAGCATTCATCTATGAGATAGGAAAATATAACCTAAATAAATAGATTTAATCCAATGCATTAGTATATGAGGTATTTTGGGAGATGTCCAAGCTTCATTAATAGAGAAAGCCAAGTTAACTTCTTCATTTCCATAATTCTAACGATCTATTTGCAAATCAAACCAAAGAACCAAACACAACTTTCACTAGAGATTATTATGGAGAATAACTTGCAACTCCCACTAAACAAGATTGTGGTTTCTATAAAAAAATTCCACGGTGCATAGTCCACCCAACTTCATCCTCAATCTCCTTGGCAATGGGCTTCACAACACAATAACCCTTTGTTTTTGAGCAAGAAGTGGTGTTCAACAGTCTTGTATCTCTCCTCTCTCGCCCTTCCATTTTAGCAGATCTCCTCCTCAGGTTTTGCCTCCTTTTCACCATCATGTCACTCCCATTGTTCATCCTTTCCCTGCTAGCGCGAGAGCCGCGGCGCATTGGAACCGGTAGTGCATCCAAACCCATCAGCTTAGCCACCACACCTGGTTTACACCACACCACCTGTTCTCCTCCTATCTTACTGGGCAAGAATCCCCTTTTTTTCTCTGCTCCAAAATCGACGATTTCCCTGTTTCGGAAAGATGGCCTGTACAGAGCATCTTTCCCATCCAGTGAGAACCTTGGGTGCTGGTCCAGTGCGCTCCGTGCGGCTCTGAGGATATCTGAGCTGTTTACGCACGACATTCGGTTTCTGATTACATCCCTTCCCAGCCTCTCCTCCATGTCCAGCTGCAATAACATTTCTTCCAAGGTCAGGTGGGGCCCACCCCTCTCGCCCTCAAAGTGTGGGCGCGTGGCTGCCACATCAGATGACAGGTCAGCAGCTACGACCGGGCGACGAGCATCAACAAGGCTTTGCTGGTTCAGGGTGGAGGTAGAGCCATCATTGTTGCAGAAGTTCTTGAACCCTTTTCTGATCTTGGCTCCGAAGGCGTTCTTGAGGAGAAAGAATGACAAGTCTCTCATGTTTCTTTTTTTTCTCTCGAGAATGATAACCGAAGATCGGGAACGAAGACTACTTGTGGGAAAAGAGTAGATCAAGGGTGAGATCTGGTGTGTGAAGGCCATGAAAGAAGATCATGGAGGAGGCATGAATGGGGCTGAGCATTGATGATGAGACTTCAAAGCAATCACATGATAAAAGATGGGGAGGAGTTTCACATGATATCTCTCCCTCTGGCAAGCCAACATGCAACAAATGAGTAATAATTTATTAATTAAAACAAACAATGTGATTTAGCTATTATTGTGCAAAGGGGAAGGCAGCTAAAAACACTACAAAAAGATTACAGTTATAAGAAAGCAGAATGTAGAAAATATTTACATCCAAGAGAAAATACTGCAAAGGATTGGACCTAAGAAAAGTGATCCTCAAGTGCACAAAAAAAAATTCAATAGTCTGCAGCTTCTGTGGCCTTCACAAATCGACCCTTCACCCGCTTCCTCTTATCGGCTCTTGCTTTTCTTGATTCGTAGCGGATGTGCTTGTCATATCTATAGAATAACAGTAACTTCATATATATGCAATATGGATTGGTTATGGTGAAGAACCAAGAAACAAATGTCAATTTTTGAAGGTGGCATGACTATAGCAACTATCTTTCAACTAATTGCTCCTTTCATAGTATGTTTGTAGAGTGCAAAAAAAAAAGTAATGATATTGGTTGTCTAAAATCTGTCAGATCTGATACACAAATTCCTCATTTATAAGGTTGTGCAAAGAACGTCGTCCGACATAAAACATTGCCTCTATGCTTTTTGCATGAATTTATAGCTTCATTCCAAAAAAAATCATGTTTCATCAAGGAACAACTTTTAAAATAGTAAGGATCAAATTTTGAAAACCATCAATTTTAACTATATTTGTACGATTTATTCATTGGTTTAATTAAATGAACATGCTTAACCTGTTATGGAAAAATACATTGCATACAATGAAATAGGACTCGTTTTTTGGTCAAAATAAGTTTTGAGAGATGACTCTTTCAGGGAGGAATGATTATTAAATAATTTTAGACAACTAATTGACATGAAAAATTAGTTGAACCCAAGCCCAAAACAATTGGGATTAAGATGATGGTGATGAATAATCTATACCTCCTTGTTTTCTTTTTCTCCTTATACCGTTGCATTGCATTTCCTCTGTTTTTGGCAAGCAGCTCTAAGTCTGCCTTCGTCATGGATGGTGATGCAATTTCGCTTTCTGCTAGAGCCAACTGGTCCATAAATTGAATGTCGATTGAATGGCAATTTGGTTTACCATAGTCGGAAACCGAAGAAGGTCGCGCCCTTTGTAAATTGTTGCTCTCTGATGCAGCCGCTGTCCCCTGTCACGAAACATAACACAAGTGCTTCGCTTCATCAGAGACAAATGCACTTTGATAGGTTAGACAGAATTATATTTTCTTAATATTTAATTATGAGATTCCGGGTATGTTTGGATTTTCACCCTATAAGAGAAGAAAAGAAAAGATAAGGCTTACACTAAGAGTTGTTATGTCATCATCATGAGTGACTGAGAAGTTCATTGGAGTGAGTTGCAATGCCTTTGAAGTGTTTAAGGATGTTTCTTTTAGGAGTTCACTGTAGCTTTTCATCATATATGTCATGTCATTTGAACCATAGCATGCTTCTGTAGGGCTCGATTCGTCATGTTCCCTTGACTGCCCCAGATTAAAATCCCATATTTGCTGCATTGAGAAATTGAAACCGACTAAGTTTGGAATAAAATCTATGAAAACAAGACACTTTGCTTCTTATGATATTCAAGAAAGATTTCCAATTACATTCACCAAAGCTTATAACAAAGTTCATAAATTTATTTCTATCATTGCTCAGAGCATCTTGTCTCCCTGATCAGGAAGGTTAGAAACCACACAAACAAAATTCGAATCAATTGGATAAGGCTATGCAATGACAGAAAGCCTACAAAACAACCTTTTTTTCCCTTTATTTATATTCCACTGCTCGTAGGCGAAATGCTTCATGAAACCAGAGAAAAAAACACCATATATCTACAAACCAAACACATCTCTATGGCACTAACTTGAAGGACATGTAGCCATAATAACAACTTGACTAAGTTTTATGCACTTATCATTTTCTTTGTCTCTTCAACTCTGTAAAGAGGATAAATTGGAGGACCTATTTTCCTGAACCTTTTCATCACTCAACACATCAAGTTTGACAAATGCAAAATAAAGATTCAAATGTCTTCAATTTACTGTTACTAAGGCCAATGCGGATGAGATCCAGACGGCTCGGATCATACTAAAAGAACACTAGCTTAGAGCCCATTCGGTCAAGAATTCTATAACCTGAGAGGGAAATTAAATATAACCTGGGAATTACGAGAAGTGGTGTTCCAGAACAGGTTCCCTTCCACTTCACTGTCTTTCTGAATCATTGGAGCCTGCTGCATCATGAGCAAGGAAGTAAAGGGCACATTCTGATTTAGTTCAAACTCCTGACTCATAACCAGCATCGCCTCGTCACCTCCTCCCTCCATCATACTCTCATTTTCGTGCCATCCACTATCTCCATTCGGCGTCTTTGGCACTATATCCTCTCCTCCTCCTCCTCCTCCTCCTCCTCCACCTCCACTACCACCACCAACACCGCCACCGCCACCATCAATCCCCTCCCTCTTTAACATCTCCACCAGCTGTTTTAGTATCACTGTTCTATTCCTTCCACAACTGGGATTCTGCTTCTGGCTCAATTGGCAGCCGGGGTTGGGATAGGCTGTAGGGTTATTGTTACTAGGGACTGTTAAGTCGTGGAGTAGAAACTCAGGAGAGAACTCCTTGGACCTCCATGGGTCCGATAATAACCCGGCCCAAACCGGATTCAGACCCGGATCCCAATTGGAGTTTTTGCCCTCGATTTCCAAACCCCAGACGGCTGCGAGCTCCGCGGAAAGCGGGCACCCGGAGATTCCCTCGACGGATTCCCGATCGTGGGCGGCGGAGACGGCGCCGCAGCTGCCGTGGGCGTCCCAGTCGCACTCCTGGCAGAGCACGAGGTTCTCGGAGGAGCAGCGGAAGAAAACCGGCTCGGAGCCGCAGGCATCGCAGATCTGAAACCGGACGTGCTTGCGCGACAGCGCGTTGGCGGAGTGAACGTGGTGGTCGCACAAGAGGCAGAGCTTGGCGGCGTCAGCGCGGCAGAAGAGCACGGCGGCCCGGTCGGTGCAGTAATCGCAGGGGACGCCGCCGGGAGTGGAGTCCGGGCCCACCGAATCAGCTCCGAGAACGTCGGAGCAGTGATAATCGCGCTCCATTGGGCCGGAAAACGATGGGACGGGGAATCGAAAAGTGGCTTTCTCTCAATTCAATTCTCGAGAAAACGAAATCCGAAAAGGGTCGGTCTGTCAGCTCATCCTAGCTCATATCCAATCTCAGCTGTCCCTTGTGGAAGCTTTGGGAAAGCAAATCATTCTGAGAGGGAGGTAAAAAGTACGGAGTAAAATCATGGATTGCGGCAGAGAAAAATAACTAACGTCCTCCTCCCCCAAACTAGTTGTCACCTATCAATTCATAAAATAAAATAAATACTACATGTGTTTCAGAGTATTTGTCCACTTTCATTTTTACACACCATCCAATACATTTCTTTAATGCATTTTATCTTGTAATTTGTATATTAAAAAATTATAGAAATTATATATTAATAATCTATATATTAAGACAAATCAAACAAAATCACACATGACTATATTTAGGCTTACACATTAAGAGAATTTGATGAGTCAAAGTGCTTAAATGAACAGTTCCAAAAGTCAAAAGTGAACGAATATAGCGGGACGGAGGGAGTATATCATTATTTATTTGATGGGATTTTTTATATTTAAATATATAGGTTACATTTTTTATTCTCATACTACTTTGTAAATAGAATCATTTTTTAATAATATTGACTCTATTATAAAGTAATTTTTATTCATATTATTCTGAGTCTAATAAGTAATAACACACAAAAAATCAATGTTTCGTCTCCGCTGAAACTCAAACCTGGCTGAATTTTCTCATGAATCATGGGAAATGTACTTCCGACCACTCAAGTCAGGAGAAAAGTTTAGAATTAGTTTTAGAAAAAATGAAATTTTTACGCATTGTTCGAACAAAAAAACTAATGTCATGTTCTCTTCACCTGATCTGAATGATTCTGATTTGATTGAAATAAGTTCCAATATAAATTGATTTGATCTGAATGTTGTTATATTTAAAATTATTTATAATCTAGTGTGATCTGATTTGATCTAATCTGTTCTGATTCCAATAAAAAAAGTAATACGGAGTAAATAATAAGAATAAGTTTAAGAAAACCTGACCTGATTCAAGACATGTGAAGTAAATAAAAGAATTAGGAGTGTAGATGTACATTCAGGGGCGGAGGAGAGGGGGGGCTGCCAGGGCAAGTGCCCCCCGGCGAATTTCCGGTGAAGTAGTAGTAGTGTACCCCTTCTCTGATGGTAGGCTTGGTGTGCCCCCAAATTTTCAGGCATGCACTGTGGCGGCTGTGCACAGGGAAGAAGAAGAAGAAGCCCGCTGCAATTTCCGGAAAAAAAAAAAGAGAAAGAGTTAAACGACGTCGTAGCTGATAAGTTTTTTTAAAAAAAAAATTAAGGGTATGACCAAATGATGGCTATACCCATTAAGGGCCTGTTCTTTTGGACTTGAACTCTTAATTTCCAGTTTTTTCCAGTTCTTTCCAGTTTTTCCAGTTTCTTCCAGTTCCTTCCAGTTTCTTCCAGTTCTTCCAGTTTTTTCCAGTTTCTTCCAGTTTCTTCCAGTTGCTTCCAGTTTCTTCCAGTTGCTTCCAGTTTCTTCCAATTTCTTCCAGTTTTTCTTGTTTTTTCCAGTTTCTTCTAATTTCTTCCAACTATATTTATTTTCTTCAAATTCTTTCTACTTTCTGACAAATCACTCTAAAAAAAATATATTATTATTATTATTTTTACAGTTTTTTAATTATAACTTTTATGTTGATAACTATAGTTTATAAATTATTTCATTTTGTCATCTCACAATTTTATGATTTATATTCATTATTTTTTTCTTCAACTTTTTAATATGAATAATACCATTTTTTTGTATATTAATCTACAAGAAAAAATAAGAAACTATTTAAAAAATTATGGTTAAATAGTTATATACACCCTCCGTCCTAAATATTCACAACATTTGCTTTTTCAAAAGTCGCGGGTACTTTTGTTTATTTCGATGTTTTCATTGATTATTTGATAAAATAAAATATTCTTGACACCTCTTATTTCGAAGAACTTTTCATGTAGTTTTTTAATATGTAAATTTTATTTTTTATTTCTATACCAATATGTAAATAAAATGAATTGAAAAAATTTAATATTTTGCCTCGGGAATACAAATGTGGCAAATAATTTGGGACGGAGGGAGTAGAATATTTTTTAATCTAAATTTATATAAGGTAAACATCAATATTTTAATCTAAAATATAGTACCTTCAATTAAGTTTAACTACATTGTAGAATATTAAGTGCTANACTTTTGTTTATTTCGATGTTTTCATTGATTATTTGATAAAATAAAATATTCTTGACACCTCTTATTTCGAAGAACTTTTCATGTAGTTTTTTAATATGTAAATTTTATTTTTTATTTCTATACCAATATGTAAATAAAATGAATTGAAAAAATTTAATATTTTGCCTCGGGAATACAAATGTGGCAAATAATTTGGGACGGAGGGAGTAGAATATTTTTTAATCTAAATTTATATAAGGTAAACATCAATATTTTAATCTAAAATATAGTACCTTCAATTAAGTTTAACTACATTGTAGAATATTAAGTGCTAATTCATCTCTAATTATTTTTTTAAACTATCTTTTTATGTATGAAAATAATATTCGTAATATTTTTTTTATTTTAAAGACAATCATTTAGATAACGTAATAACACCACCACTACCACCATCACCACCACCACTAACAACAACAACAACAACAATAATAATAATAATAATAATAATAATTATAGCAATAATAATAATTTATATCAACAAGAATCAGAATGAGAATAATTTAAAACCACACATAAAAAATTTTTAAAAACTTTTTTTAGATTTTACAATTTATTCTATTTTTTTCAGTTTTTTTTTAATTTTTTCCTGTTTTTTCAGTTTTTTTTAATTTTTTCCTATTTTTTCAGTTTTTTCCAGTTTCTTCCAGTTTCTTCCAGTTCTTTTCAGTTTCTTCCAGTTCCTTCCAGTTTCTTCCAGTTTCTTCCAGTTCCTTCCAGTTTCCAGCTCTTTTTTCCAGTCCTAAAGAACAGGTCCTAAGTGATTAACAATTCCCTAGTTTTTTTCGTGCGGCAAAGCAAAAGCAAAAAAAAAGGCACTGTGACTGTCTCTATTCTCTCATGTTCGTGCGGCAAAGTGAAAAAAAATCCAATCATCTTCACTTTTTGAGTTTTTCTTCTTCAATTCTTCTTCTTCTTCACAAATACGAAGGCTCTCATCAGGTATATTCAATTTCCCTTGAATACTATTAATTTATTTTTTTGATATTCTTGCAACGGAAATGGATAGACACTTCACAGAGACAAACACAAATTTACTAAGATGTGTAATGTGTCTTGATCCTTCAAATTGTTTTGCGAGTTTTGATCAAGATCGGCTATTAGAACTTGCTGTATTATATTCAGAAGATTTCAGTTCTTGTGATCGAGTTGAGCTTAATCATGAACTTCAAAATTATATTTCTGACATGAGATCGAATGAAGTTTTTGCTAATATCTCCAATCTTGGAAGTCTTGCAAAGAAGATGGTGGAGATGAATTATCACACTTATTTTCCTTTGGTATATCGGCTTATAGAATTGACATTGATATTACCTGTTGGGACAGCTTCAGTTGAAAGGAGTTTTTCTGCGATGAATATTGTCAAGACGGATTTACGCAACCGTTTGGGAGATGAGATGCTATCAGATTGTCTATTATGCTACTTTGAGAAAGAAATTTTTATGAGCATTGATGATGAAGTTATTATGCAGCGCTTTCAAAAGTTGGCATCTCGAAAAAATTTTCTACGACCTCAAAAAACTCTTACTCATTTGAGCAAATAAAAGGTATGTTTAGCACTTTTTCAAATAAGATTGTTACTATTATGAAATTTTTTTGTTGTTTTTTAAATAAATTTGTGCCCCCCATGAAGTCTTCTCTGGCTCCGCCACTGTATACATTTACATTTACAAACTTGTTAGTGAATTCACACACTTTTTGTCCCAAATTACGTGAAAAAAACAAAGGCAAAGATTAGTTTGGAACAAAAAACACTTTTGGCTAAATCTACTTTTTTATACGGAGTAGTAAATTGATACGGAGTAATTTTTTTTAAAAAAAATTGACTTGTATCTAATTTTCTAAATCCCTGTTATGTATTTTTATGGATCAAATTGGTAATTTATCATAAATACATTAAATCTATCTATACTTAAAAGCATGAGAATTTTGGCCCAGCTTTTCCCGCCCAAACAATGTGTCATTGTGAACCGTTGATTAGCTTTGACATCTTGATCAACGGTTGATTATTATTATGGATATTTCATTGGAATAGTAATAAAAACCATATGATAAAAATGGTAAGAATAAAAATCATTAGAGAAACATAAGTGCGTTTATTTTACCATATATTATGAAAATAATAATGAGCCGTGGTCCTGGAAAAATATGAGAATTTAATTATGAAAAAACACACTTATCTGTTGCAATTATCAAACTTATATGTATTATTGTTATTATATTTTATAGCATTTAATAATGTCAATTTTTTTAGTATAATTTTTATACATTATTACCTCTTATAGTTTTTATATAATGTCATTTTTAATGTCAATTTTTATTGTACATTATCTTTATGTATTTTATAATCTTTTTATTTTTGACACTAGCATCTTTTTGTATTTCTTTTAATTGGGTGTTTTCAAAGGGAAATATTTTGTGCTTTTAAAGTCTACTAGTATCCCACCCGTGCGCTGCACGGGTCATTTTTATGTTATTAAATTCAAGTCATTTTTTAATCATAAAAAATGAGATGCAATAGAATACAACGATTATATTATTTTAAGGTACAAAACATCACTGTTTTACAAATTTCGAAAGACTTCTTTATAGACTACATTATTTATACAATTTGTGGGAATATTGCATTCATTGCATATCATAATCTTAAACCCACTACAATTAGTTACTCTTGAAACTGCAACATAGAGTGGTCTATGACTAAAACATGTTGGATTATTGTTACAGAAACCTGTGATAAACCCTAACTGCTCGTAGCTTCATCATAAACTGCTCGTAGCTTCATCATGAATGTAATGGCTATGAAAG